GGTAAAGAAAGGAAAATATAAACAAATGGGAATACATCAAACTAAAACGCTTCTGCACAGCAAAGGGTACCAGCATCAAAGTGAAAAGGGAAGCCTCTACATGGGAGAACATATTTGCCAATGATACATCTGATAAGGGGTGAATCTCCAAAATATATAAAGTACTCATACAACTCAAGTAAAGGAAGAGAAACAATCTAATTAAAAAATGGGCAGACCACCTGAATAGCTATTTCTCCAAAGAGGACATACAGATGACCAACAGCCATATGAAAAGATGTTCAATGTCACCAACCATCAGAGAAATGTAAACTCAAACCACAGTGAGATCTCACCTCACACATGTCAGAATGGCTGTCATCACTAAATCAATAAACAAGTATTGGTGAGGGTGTGGGAAAAGGGAACTCTTGGGCACTGTCGGTGGGATTGTAAATTGGTGCAGCCACGATGGAAAACAGTATGGAGATTCCTAAAAATATTAAAAAAAGAAGTACCTGATGAGCCAGCAATTCCACATCTGGGTATTTCTCCAAAGAAATCCAACTAATTTTTACACCAATTCAAAAAGATATATGCATTCATTCATATGTTCACTGCAGCAATATTTTCCTGGTTGGGGGCTCAATACCTGGTGGGGGACATGCAAGGCAGCCAATCTGTGTTTCTCTCTCACATCGATGTTTCTCTCCCTCTCCCTTTCTCTCTTTCTAAAAATCAATTTTAAAATATTTCAAAAACACGCATAAAATAAAATTGCAAATCCTCTCTAGAGAAAAGCACCTCCTAAAATTGTCAGAGATTAAGACCAACCAAAGATGAATTAAAATGAAAGGTCATAAACACGGATGGAAACAAATCACCATGAAGGAGAGTCTGCAGATTAAAAAGCAATAGATTTAGACTCTCAGTAGGGGGTGTGCAAGAGGCAGCTGATCGATGTTTCTCTCTCATCGATTTTTCTAACTCTTTATCACTCTCCCTTCCTCTCTGTAAAAAAATCAATAAAGTATATATAATTGTTAGCCTAGAATACTTAGCAAAGCAAACTTCCATATCAGAGGGCAAAAGAAGGATATCAGAAAAACAAAAACTACAGTTTACCATCAACACTAAAAAAAAACTCCTAAAAATATTTTAGGAAGAGGGAAAATTATTCCAAAAGAAATATTTAAGGTACAAGAAAGAATGGTAAGCAAAGAGATGAGTACAAAGAGAAAGGCAAATCTGAACAGTCCTTTATAAAATGATAACAATGTCTAATCTGTGGTTCCCAAAATTCAGACAAATAAAATACAGGGAAATAATAGCGGGTAAATTGAAAGGGAGGTATCAGAATGAGACTACTCCAGGGTCCTTGAAGTCTTTGGGAAGAAAAAGGTGGTCAAGATAGTAACTTTAGAGGCTGCATGACAGCAGCTGAAGGGTGGAGGAGGTGGTGTAGCCAGTCTTGTCCTCTCCATGAGGGCACAGCTGGTGCCGATGTTCGGCGTTCAGGAAGGTATTCATTTAGTGAAACCAGGGCAGTGGCACACACTGCCAGTCACAGACCAAGTTTCCCGCCGCACTGGAGAACCAGATTAAAATGTCTACACTACCTACAGAAACCTATAGATTCAATGCAATCACTATCAAAATACTGATGTCATTTTTCACAGAACCAGAACAAATAATCCTAAAATTTATATAGGACTAAAAAGGACCCAAATAGCCACAAAAATTGAGAAAGAAGAATAAAGTCGAAGGTATCACACTACCTGATATCAAACTATACTACAAGGCTATAGTAATCAAAACAGCATGGTACTGGCATAAAGACAGACGCAGAGATCAATGGAACAGAATAGAGAGCCCAGAAATAAGCCCATGCCATGACAAAGGAGGCAAGAATATATAATGGGGTTAACACAGTCTATTCAATAAATGGTGTTGGGAAAACTGAACAGATATATGCAACTCCAAAGAAGACATACAGATGACCAACAGCCATATGAAAAGATGTTCAATGTCACCAACCATCAGAGA